ATTAAATCGAAAAGCCACTTAGCAATTCAAATCGAACAATCGTCGATCCCGTGAGAAAATCCCCGTGGAAATTTGTGTAAAAAATGGCCGGGAACACCCCGGAAAATGTCCTGTAGACAATGCTTGTCGATAGGTTTCGACGGCGTTTTATGTGGGAGCTTACTGAAGCTTTTTTTTGACGGGGCGAAATGTATCTCCACTTAAGATTTAACGGTGGTCTGAGGTGCGGGACAAACGCACGTTGTAATTTGTTCTACTCATTGCTTATTATTTACTAGTAAGTATATTTATGCATCAGTTACCTGTTTGAGTGAAGAAGTTTAGCCAAGATTAGGACCCAGGACATTTCACGCCTAAACTTCTCTTTTGAGCTATGGTGGTCGTGGAGGTTTTTTAAATTTATTTGAAAGTATGACCTCTTCCAAGACAGACTATGAAGTTATGCGAGTTTCGGAAAAAGAGGTTAATTACTGTTTGAAGGATAGTTACAAGAATAAATCTTTAAAAAATATTTTTATGCTGAAATTTAGAAATATAAAGATATTAAAAGTTGGAGTTCAGATACCGGACTAATAACTAGCTGGTGCTCTATGCAGGGAACATATTATTATTAAACTTTATCTTTTATAATTAGCGTAGAGCAACATTCATACCAATAGCTGAAACTGAAACCTATATTTATAGATTCGCTGAAACCATTGAAACGTGTCGGCTCAAGTGGGACCCTAGCGATCACCTATCCCACTCTGTTACATGATTTTCACAATGTTTCATCCCTCTCTATCCCATTGAAGGATATCGAATGTTCGACGCAACAGGTGTTATTGGCTTTGGTTTTAGGGCTGCCATTTTGATCGGTTTTAGATTATTACACATTTTCAGCTGCTTTTGATGCTGAGCTGATTTCGTCTTATAAGGCCTTACCCTCGCCGATGCTAGTGATGGAGGTCTAGCGTACAAACCTCAGTAAGACATTGTAATTCTCAAATTATTCATTTCTGAAACAACAACAATTTGGAACAAATTGCACAAACAGAAACATTGTGCAAAAAATTAAAACACAATTTACTGTCGTTATTTAAAATCTTTTGAAGCTACAGAACTATTCATTGTTAATAAATTTGAAATAAAGACAAAACGTATAAAGAACAATAAGTCAATCACGAATCACGACGAACACAGCACTTTAATAAGTGGCGTAGACTTCTTAATATAAATATTTGAGTAATTATTCACGTTTTTCCGAATCCTACCTGAGTGCTCCTCGATAATTAAATAAAAAGAGATATATTTTATTTATTGTAAGTAAAAGTGACAACCCTTTGTTCAATCGTTTTTCAACAGGATAATATCGAAGGCTTTACGGGCCGTCCCGTTTCCGGATGTATCAGGTGTTCGGAAAATTCGACTCCACATTCACTATTAATCGCTTAACGCTTTTCCCTTTTTGAAGCCTTTTTTCATGTTACAGGAGAAACCTTTTTGCTATTCAAAAGTTTGCGTTTAAAAAAAGCTTATAATAAGTTTGATGTTAAAAACATATATTGACAATACTACTTACCGACCTTTACAAGTCAAACCTTCTTCCTTACTAGCTGTGTCAGCGACTTCGTCCGCGTAGAATGTTATTTTGGGCATTCAAATTTGTTTTGCAAACCTCCTTTTTATCTTTATAAATTCAAACTATTAACCACGAAGTCGGCCGCGGCACATCGTTCTTGCAGGTCAATCTGAAAAGATAGACTTGGACATTTTTAAAGATCATTTAATTCATTTTTTCATTCATAATTTCATACATCTTTTTTTGAGTATCTCTAATCGTTTCTCATCCACGTACGCATCGGACCCCACAGAATAATTTTCTCCGTTTTTTATAGATTTCCCGTTTCTTCGCTCCCATTAGTCACAGCCCGATGTATATATATCATATTCTTCCGCGATATATGCTCTAACTTACAGCAAACAATTCAATTCGAACCAGTAGTTCTTGATATTAGCGCTTTCAAACCAACAAACTCTTCGACTTTGTATATTAGTATAGATTGTAATTAAAAATAATAAATTATGCTCATATCACTCATCGAAGTATAGAACAGCCTTCTTCCCTATAACGTCATGAAAGTTTTACCACATCCTGTATGTTAACAGCTGAATGACTAACCACCACTTAAAGCTTGAAGTGTCAAGTTAATCACTAATTCACAAACGAGAGGTGAACTCAACCCTTTCTGTATCTGTAGTAAGCTTTAATTAGGAATACTGTTTGCTTAAGTAGAAAATATATATTTTTTAAAGACTCCATAGCTTAACAGTTAAACAGTTAAGACTCTAAGGAATGTAATATGACACATCTTTAGACTACAGAATCATTCTTTTGTGGTCTTTGCTATATCGTTTTTTTTTGTTCCCCTGGGATTCGAACCCAGAACCTCTCGCGCCTAACGCAATACTAGGCTATACGTGTAACCATTCGTCTACGGAGACGGTAGATAAATTCTTATACTATGTCCTTATGGCTTACTTACTATATATAACACGTATCTTTTGTATTCCTTAATAATGGTACAAGAGAGTGTCTTTAAAAATCTGTATAATTAAAACATAATATTGTATATCGAGGATTTTGAAGTAGTTTTATGCATACGATGGCATTATACATTAAAAATCAACTTAAACAGAGAAAATATGCGGCTGCTAAAATAGTAAATAAATACATTTAAAAAATTGGTTAGAGCAACGTTTTAAGTGCCGGTTCTAGTCCCGCACGTGTCGTATTGTTTTTTTATGTATTTACAGTTTTAATTTATATAAGCTTATTCTAATAATACTCAGAGTCTAGATTTATGGCACAATCTATGAATTCATTCGTGGCGCAGAAATTTTTTGTCAAGGGTGTCTCTCGACTTTTATGTTACTAACAGATATATTAGTTTAGTCTTTAGCAATGATAAGCGTATCAGCTTTGTGGAGACCTTCGTACATAACGCCTCGGGGCTCCACAGAACTCAAACATTATAGACGATCGCTGCTTGAACAACAAAAGTACTCTAAATAAAACACTTTAACGGTTTAAAACGTGATATATATCAATTAAACCTAATTTGATTGATGATGAAATTTTATAACTAGAGCCTATTGTTTCGGATGCTTTGCAGCAGCCGTGGTCCCGGAAAGACTAAAGATGGAGAGTGTCTCGGACGACAAAGTTGAAATAATTTTCATGTAAGTTCAAGTAATATATGCCGTTAAAGTGTCATTCAATAAAAGTTTAACAAACGTTTTTACGACTTTAAAATACATAATATATTAAGCGGAAAAGCCCTTTTATTACTTTGAAAAATGACTATACCAGATAACAGACTTCGCTGCTCAAAACATTGCCTCGAGTGCTCAGAATCCCGAAGACATATAATAAACATACTTACATTCAGTCTGGCATGGCGCATAAATAAATTGACTTGCGTCGAACAGCGACAACATATAAGATATCTTATTAAAAAATCGAAGTGGATTTTGTACGTCTTACCTTCTTAACTCTATGGTCGTTTGATCCCACTATTATGGTAAGTGATGTGTGGATAACTTCTTTGTCGGAGTGCCGCGGACATTGGGCGATACCTAACATAACTTAATGGGTACTCGCTTTAAGTACCTAATAGTAGACACACTTGAGTTGTCTACTACTACTGTTGAATGGGCTTCTTTCAACGGTTTAAAACGTAAGTCAGTCTTTAACCTATCTTTGCAGTTCCCTCGTAAACTCTGCTGCAAAGCATCCGAAACGTCAGGCCGAAGCCCGAAGTTTAAAAACCATTTTCAAATAAGTTTAACTAATATATCGCGTTTTAAACCGTTAAAGTGTTTTATTTAAATGTAATATTTTTATTTACTAAATACGAAAATAATTAACTAATATTAAAATTACAAAACTAATCTTGATTTTGGAGTTGCATACAATACAAATTTCGTTCTAAATAATGGTTATATAGTAGCAAATGAGCAGTCGTTATAACGACTAGGTATTTTCACCTTTGTTATCAAATACCAGGCAATAAGCCCCGAAGGCCTCTCCGGCCAGAAGTGCTGGATTATAAAGGAATAGTTTAGATGCTCTGTGCTCTAGTTCGCATATCTTGGTGATAGAGTTATCGTGTTTATCGTTTTATTAGAAGTGATATTTCATACAAATAAAAAAAAACAACGTAATTACTAATGTATGGCGTACTTCGAAATGTTTTGAAGACTCAATTAAATTAAATAAAATGGTGAAGGTTTATCATCTGAGTTTGTTGAAAAGTTCAACAATAGAACTATTAGCTAAAAAAATTTGACAAGTACATCTTGTACACAGTACTGATGTATTCACAGAATAGCGAAATCGTTAGTAAATCCTAACGTGCAGTGAATTCCCCTGAAATTTCCGAAGCATCGAGCTTATTGTGTCGAACAGAGCCCAGGAACTGACAATTATTATAAGCCTTTGTGTCCTAATAATACTACGCAGTATAGTATTAAATATTACTAGGAATTGTGTGAATATTATAAAAATGTGTCTACAATAATTATTCAGAAACTACAGCTGACAATCAGTGTTATATTTATTTAAAGAATATAATGAATCTTTTTAAACTTGTAGATTTTTTCAGTTGCACGTTTTGCTCTTTACATTATCGAGACTATATATAATTATAATTATTAATAAACATTAATTAATATAAGCGTATACTCACGAAACTCTTACATTTTATATAAATACTTACATATTGTAAGATTTCTGTGTGTTGTGAAAATTACAAACGATTATTTTACTTCTATTGAGATGTGAAGTACTGTTAACAATATCAATTTTATCAGCAAACAAATATATTTTTATCATTATTGGGGAATAAATATTGTCTGGGTTTAGTTGTTATATTGCTACAGATAACACGGCTGTGTTATGTAATTGATTTCTCAGTAACAGTGAATAATCTTGTAGTTGTGCTGTATATTATTACACAATGAGTTCATTAAAATACGTAAGTACCTAAGTTCATATATATTATATACATAAGTAAGTACCTATATTTGCTTCAATAATTACAAACAGTTTGTTAAAAATTTAATACACTACTAAGTACTTTCAAGGGTTAATCATATCTTACATTTATAAGTTACAAAGACCGCTACTATAGTGTGTTTCAGTAGCTCTCTAGCGCGAGAGGTCCAGGGTCGGAACCCGAGAAAACAGTATATTGTTTTGGTGGGGCAAAGTCCAATCAATTTCTTGTCTGTAAAAGATTCGATCACAAAAGGACGCAGAAACGTATTCACTCCATGCCCCATGGGGGAAAACGGAATTTTATTTTACTTATAAGTTTTAGACTAATAAAAAAGTGTTTTTTTTTTTAATTAGAAAGATATTATTGATTGATTGTATTATGTCATTCAGGTGAAATTCAACGCTCGCGGTCTCATACCGCCAGTTTTTACCCCCCTTAAAAAAGACCTGACTATAAATTACGAAGTTATACCGAGATATGTGGATTTTATTCACAAGAGCGGAATAAAAGGATTAATGGGTAAATATTTGTAACTAAGCACACTTACACAACTTTAAATATTATAAAAATATACTATAGTATCACAGATAACATAGGCGTGACTTTTAATTGTGTTTTAGTCTGTGGAATTTGGAATGTTCAAAAACAAAATGGGGGGACAGCTCGTCTTGTTGAGATGTTGTATGTTTGAAAACTTTATTATTTTTGACATGAAGACACTGTATAATTTAAAAATCGAATATAAATTGACAAAATTTTGCTGTGGCTCAGCACGAAATGCTAATGATGCCGGTTCAGGTCCTGCCCTAATCAATTTTTTTTTCAATTTATTTTCGATTTTTAAATGAGATGTTATATGGCTGGGATACTTCACCTACCATTAAGTGAAACTTGTCTGTCTTTCTCTTTCATAAAAAAAACAGTGTCTTTAAATTTTAATAAGTATTATCTTCTTTATTACACAACGAATTAATAAATTGTGTAAGGCTTTCATCGTTCAGGACATGTTAACTCCTCGATTACTCGAAGAATAAATTTTATACTATATACTTCATATACTTAATTCTTCGAGCAATCGAGGAGTTAACATCTCCTGATGATGCCGTCCACACGTGATGGCGAAACGTCGAGAACCTCTTCTCGCTCACGTCGGCCGAACAGCCCGAAAGACAATGATATGCTACACAACGAATTGTTAAGCTATAAAAATGTGATTGGACACAATAAATATACAACAGATTTTAAATATTGTACTTTTTAAATATTATAGATTATTAATTAAAAATCGATTACAAATCTGAAAAAACTTAACGAATCGGGCAGCACTTGAATCGGTATCCACAGAGTTCCGTACTGTTGCCCGGACCAATTGTTACCCCGCCTAATTTTTTCAACCTATAGATATAATTATAATAGATTATTATTTTTAGTTGGAGGCACTGCGGGTGGTCATATGTGTCATTCCTTAGTTGAGAAAAAAATATTAGTAGAAGAGTGGGTGAAGGCCGCTAAAGAAAGAGATCTTCATGTGATGGTGCAAGTTGGTGGAACTGCTATGCCTGATGTCTTGGATATGGTATTACCTTTATATTCTGTTTAAACGTTATTATAACGATGGAAGGGAATGGATTAAATGGACTGATAAATTCAATACTATTTTCTAAGCTTTAATATTTTCATATACTGCACATGATGGTATTGCATAAATTAAAAATCGGATAAGTTAAAAAAAGTTAGCTCCATTGGTTAGAACAGCAGCACGGAACTTTGTCGATGCCGGTTCAAGTCTCGTCCGTGTCGGAATATTTTTAATTTGTACTATTTTCGTATGCATATATTGTAATGTGCATAATGCATTAAAGGCTTTTACGTGTAAAATTGTCTATGCCCTACTTAGGTATATACTATGGAATCTATTGTTTACTCTGTTATATGTATGTCAAACTATATAGTCTAGACTAGATTGATATAACTGAACTGAGGATTTTCTCGTTATGTATTTTTTTAGATAACAACATATCTTTTTTTTTTCAGGTACAACACTGCGTTCGAACTGGTGTAGATTCAATACTTACCTTACCGGAGATCTACTTTCGTCCTAAGAATTTAACGGAATTAGTGGATTATGTGGAAACTGTCGCCAAAGCTGCGCAAGACCTTCCCGTTCTGTATTACCATATTCCGCATATGACCAATGTCTCTGGTACTGTAAAAAACATACATACATACATATAAATTTAAATAATCAGGTATTAGATAATTTTTTATATTAAATGTTGTGAATAAATTACTACACTATTGTTAGCCCATTTTCAGTTTCCACAACTAAATTGGGATCTTAGTAAGATACTAGTTTCTAGTGTTTTTCTAATGATATTTCGTATAACCGGAAACCAGATGTTAGAATAGACGAAGATATTCTAAAGAAGATTGAACTCCTCAAATCATTAATAAAAGTACATATAGAATGAACCAACACAACTCTAACATAAATGATCCACTTGTATGGCATGGGGCAGATTTTTGGGCTTGATGCACTCATCCATTTAATTTTCCAACAACACATTTAGCAATAGAAGTAGTGAGACAGTCTCTCTAACTATAGTAAATTTCATCACAATTTAAAAATAACATTATTTAAATGTATATATATATAATACGAGTATGTAATTTCAGTAAGCATGCCAGCATTTGTAGCAGAAGCCAACAAACGTATACCGAACTTCAAGGGCATAAAATTTTCATCCAATGACCTGAGCGAAGCAGCCCAAGTACTCAGAAATTTAAAGGACGATCAACAAATATTATTAGGAAGTGCAACAGTATGTTCCACTATAGTTTTTATATTACATTATAAGGATTCGAATTTGTGACCGTCGACGTTGACGAACGACTTACGCGAAGGTTAAAAGTTTCATACATTATTTTAATATTTCATAGAATATTCAATGTACAAATAAATTTTGTTTTTTGCATTAACATGTAAAAACATCATTATTATTTTCACGTTTAAATGCGGCAATATAAATTTAACAAGGTGAGATTCTAACTCAGAACGACACGATCAACAGATAAGTATGGCATGACTACTACTTTAGACTCTGTGGCTCAAAATGTAGAGGAACATCATGCCTACAACATTTCCGACTTTACTGAGAAAACCCCATGATTTTGGCAGCTGTATTTTTTTATATAGTTGTTAGCTCCAGCGGCGCTCCTCGGGATTAAATCAAGTATTGGTACAATTTACAACTTCATGCCAAAGTTAGCACAAGGTATTCTGGAAGCTATAGAGGCATCTGATGTAAACAAGGCCAGAAAACTTCAAGAACAACTCAGTTTGGCTATTGAAGCACATGTACCGGAAGGTAACTCTTTCTAAAATAAGTTTATACTAAATCATTTGACGCCTCGTTTATGATAAGTTTTTACAATTACACATATCATAAACAAACTAAAAAATCAGTTTTTGTTTGGTATTGCCATAAAGTGGAAGCCCGTTTCCCCTTCGTGGGGCATGCATGGGGCGAACACATTTTTGTGTTCGTTTCACTGATCCTTTCTTTTAACGGGGAAGGAGTTGAGCAGACTTCAGTGCCCTGCCTGACCGAAACACTTTTATGTTTCCCTGGGATTCGAATCCAGGACCTCTCGCGCTTAACCCAATGCTAGGCAATACGTTTAACCTATTGGCTACAGATGCGGTCTCTTGGTATTGCCATCGTTCGTTTAAATTATTATCATTGCAGTCTACTTTGATGCATTTGTCTTGCTAAAATAACAAATAATGTTTATGAATTTATTGATTTAATATTTATAATATCAAATAAAAAAAATCACCATTGTCAAACATTCGGACACCGGAGGAGTATATTATATATACCTATAATTTTTATCAAAGAAAATTTTATTTATTGTTAAAATAAAATCTAAAACAATGTTATTTCTTACTTTCCTAAGTATTCCTAGTTCCACTGATCAAATATAATATTTCTGATTAATTTACAATAAACAAAACTAATGTATATAAAGTACAATATTCTTTATTTTCAGGTGGTTGGGTCCCAGTGATGAAAGTCGGTATGGAAATCGTGACTGGAATCCCAGTAGGACCTGCAGCAGCCCCACAAAAACCTGTAACAGAAGATGGGAAAAAGAGAATTGAAGAGAGATTGAGGAAACTTGGTTTGCTCGAAGCATGAGTATATAAAAGTTCACCCTAAATTATTATTATGCAAAGTGGCTATAGCGGGTTCGAGTCTTGACTGTGAAATAAATTTCAATCCCTATGTACGAGGTTTTGATTACAAATCCAATTAAACATTTCGTCAATTGATCTGAGACGAAAAGGCTGCGGTTCCCCTCAGGGGGGGGATTCTAAGAATAAATGCTCTACATAAACACACGAGCGAAATGTACGTGAGGATTCTTAACACCCTGACAATTGTAATTATATAGAGCTGTAAATGAAGATGTATTAAAAAAACATGCCAGTTTGAAGTTATTATAATATACTATACGCAAAATAGTAATTATAAATTTACTGTTTATATATGTGTTAAATTTACTTTACTTACTAACTTTTTTTAATTTATAAAAGATATGAATGCAATATAAATAAATTAAATAAATCTTGTCTACTATATTTGATTTATCATGCCACATAACTACACACGAAGGCATTAAATTATAAATTAAAAATCTTTTTACAATGCAACAATTTGACACGGGCGGTAATTGCGGCATCCACGTGCTGCTGCTCTAACCAATCCAGTATGATAGCTTGTTTGGTTAGAGTAGTAGCTATAGATTATTAATTCATAATATATAGATTTTTCACGCGAGTAGGACCTGTTTTTTAAAACCGTTAAAAGTGTTTTATTTAAATTATATCTTAAAATTATCAGCTCTTTATGATTCCCGAACACATTCCCCGCGAAACGTATACAGTATCGCATTATATCATTTATAAACAAAATGTGTTAAAATAAATCGCAACGTTGGCAGCCGCAGATACGCGGATTTAATGTACACGAGACGATTTTCGGTATAATTTGCGTGTGTGCGCTACTGAGTTGAGAGCGGTTATATTGTATTACATACACGGCTATTTAGGTGATACGGTAATATATTTCGCTGAATAAATCGGCCAAATGTGAATTTACCTCTAAGGTATTTGTAATTTTTTCTGAAACATATTGTCTGGAAATGTGGATATTATTTAATAGTGATAAGAATATAGAAATTCTGTCTGTGTCATGAACCGCCATCCAGCAGAAAATTATTTAATTTCTTAAGATTCGTAATCGACCTTTAGACATCCAGAAATTTATAGACTAAAACTGGTGGTTCCTGACCCGAACGGAATTGTGATTCTTCTACCAACCGTTTCATATCCACATTTTTCAGACTAACATACTTCAGGGAAAACGTAAATAGATTAAAAACATGATGGACTTGCTGTGGATCGAACCCTTGACCTGTTAATCCATACTGCCATTGAACTAGCCACAAAAAAGGTAGAAATACATACTCATGCTTATAAATAGCTTTTTAAATTTACTTACTCCGCTGGCGCAGCGACCCAAAGTGGGTCTTGGCCTCCACAACCAGAGAACGCCACTTCCGCCGATCCTGCGTTACGGTTCGTTTTTAAATTTATTTTATAATAATAATAAAAAAAAATCGATTTTAGCATCTTTTGATACAATCCGTTTCAAAAAAATGAACCATCACGCATATATATGCGTGATGGCAGCACTTTGAATATTAAGATTTTACTTAAGTTGAGTTTTACAATAGGAACTTGTATTATTTTCTACTGACGACATCGGCTGATCAATGTACAGTATAATCGTATTGGCCTATAAGGGGCACAAAGATAAAAAAAACTTTTTTCGAATCCTCAAAGTAGAAATACAAAAAGATCAATACGAACAATACGAGCACGTACGCGTATTACATTCGACAATTTCAACCCTTAGCGTTCCCCTCGAAAGTGGTGATTTATCAAGGCATTTTCTCACCTAATAAATAATGCGTATTTCCTCTGCTGTATAATATTTCGTGATAGACACCGGGGATGGAGCTGTAGGAATACGCACGTAATAATCAATATTTTTGAAAAGCAAATACATACACTTAAACACGTCAATGTAGCAATAAAATCTATGTCGATTCATAATTTAAGCACAAAATAATAAATTCTATGAATTTTTTAAAATTTAAAACTCCCCGAAATAAACGGAACACGTTTTACATTTTATCACGAAAGATTTAAAAAATATGAGTAAGTTATTATTAATTATTATTATGAACTAAAGTAGGTATTAAGTTGAATCATCATCATCATCATCATCAACATCATAAGCTAACAATTATATATCTTAGTTTGTCTGTAGTTTATGCTAGTAGTACACATTTGGATAAAAAACTTGTAACTGAATGCGAATTATTTTAGGTAAATAAATATATTACTTAACTTTTTTTATTTAAGTACGGTTCTTAGGATACTTCCCTCCGTGACTATGGCTGCTGCAAAGCATCCTAAATGCCTGGCCGTAGTTATAAACTGAAATATTTCGCGTTCTAAAAGATAAAAGTGTTTTTTTTAAATGTGTATATTAACAAGTTAAAATGTTTATTGTTTCAATAATATGAAGATTATATTTATATATTACATTAGATATTAAAAGAGGTAAACATAATATATTGTATTAACCAAATCCAATAAAGCCGTCTGTCATTTGTCACAAAATTTCAATAAACCACCGTCACAAGCACTGCGCTACATATTTGAATATTATGATTTATCTCTACTATTCCGGAAGCCAGCAGCCACCAGCCTAATATGGCCTGCCTCTTTGGAGTACGTCAAAATGTTTGAGGTTCAGTAATTATTCCAGTGAAATAAAACGTTGAGGCAACATGTACTTATTTAATGAGACAATCGATTTTTAAATTTAATTATAAGTAAATATTTTCTCTATTCTATTTATTACTATTGACTAAAATGAGGCATTGAGTTATTTAATACAGTATAATCAAATAATAGGTGTTAGTGAATATAGTATGTTAGATCTAGACTAAATACTGTCTGTAGTTTACGCAAGTAGTACACATTTAAATAAAACACTCTAATGATTTGAAGCGCGATCGATATATATTACTTAAAATTATTTACACTCCGGCCCGTCGTTTCGGATGCTTTACAGCAGCCATGGTCACGGGGAGAGTACCTCTGATGTCGAAGTAAAAATTGCTACCTAGCGTCATCTGTTTCCGACCAAATTGTTATTTGGCGAAACTGGCCAGGTCCTTGCAGAATTAGGCTGTAGTTAAAATAATTTTCAAATAAGTTTAAGTAATATATATCGCGTTTTAATGTTTTGTTTTATAAAAGATCTAAACTATATATAACTTATTGGTATCATCAATATATAATAGTACCTATAGCGTTGCAATATTTAATAAAATTCGTCATAACAAAATCCAGATCAAGAGATTTTGGTTTTTTCCCCTAAGGTAAGCAGAAATATTTCATAAATAGTAGAGATGTCATTTTTTCTCTCTATTGCAGTTTCGCGATAGGATTGTGAGGGTATGCAAAATAAAGATCACGAATACACTACATCAATATCATTAGTCTTTTTTGTTTAGGCTGATTGGTGACTATTATAGGCTAAACAAAAATATGATAATATCACAGCTAAAAATTTTTTTTAGTCCAATACACTTCTATTAATTAGATAAAGGACCTATAGTGTATATACAGTTGGAAATAACAAAAAAACTACTTCATTGAAGTTCTACAACATGCATATTATACGGCTTCCGTTATTCAAATTATTTAAGAGGCTTTTTCTCTAATACAAAGTAAACAATACTACCCTAAACGATCAGACGTTTATAAAACATTGGGAATCTATAGAACAACGCTCGCCTTGTTAGATCGGAAAGCAAACAGGACAATTTTTGGGGGATCTTACTGTTGGCGAGCGATATAATGCTGCTTTTGGCAAAGAGGTTAGTGGCAAAAAGTTTTATACAGCAAGTATAGTGGTCTGTATTTTAACTTAAATGAGAGGCTAGCTTAAAATACTACACATATACAACAATAATTCCTTGTTAGAGAAGACACAATAGGCCACTATAGAATCTGTTACTATAACATTTTTTTATATTCTATAATTATAGTACATTCGTAATAAATAAAGCAACATTGTAAAATTAAATTATTTTTGATGTGAAAGGGAACTGCTAGTATAGTAATTATTGTTAACTATTATTAAAGTTTAATATAAATGTAACAATAATTTATTACGGCGCTATATTAATTTTTAACTTAAGTTTAATTATAATTAATAGATTTAAATAATCCAAATCAAATAAATAACCAACATTAAAAACCTACGTATTTTAAAATATGCGTGAGTAGAATATCTTGTAAATTAAAACAATGTTCTTAATTGTTCGCAACATTTTAGCACCCCTCAAGTCTCAACCCTAAGACGCCCTAACCAATGTTTTCTTTGTTGGAATCCTTAGCTCAATATTTGCAATAATTATACACTTGATTTCACACTTTCAATAAATTTGCTTGTCTTCTTGCAATTTCTTCTCTTGGGGGATTCTCTGGTGCTTGTACAATATTATTACACCTTTATAACGCGCAAGTGTTTTAAGATTATTTTGGATTTGGAACACAGCTAAAAGTATCATTTATTTCTTTACGCAAGTTTTTGCTTATATAACAGTGCCCTTCGTTATTTTATATTTACTCTGAGTATTATTGTATCAACTGACATAGCGTGTCAGCAATGTTAAAGATCTACCAGTAGCTACGGTTGGTTTACGTAGCACCGTGTAGCAAGTGCGTAGCTTATTGTAGCACTACCTTACGTAATATTATCGTAGTCTTCTTGCATATATTACAAAAAATATATATTTTGTCACTTCTATAATTGTATTACGAATGTTGTATAGTGACACCTATACTCGTTTATTGTTTCTTATAGTTTTTAAACCAAGTAAAGGTTAAATTATTTACGCAAGAAAATTTAGTAATTTAAATAATTACTTTTAACGGTTCAAAATGTGATATATATTTGTTAAACTTATTTGAAAATTATTTTTAACTTCGGCCCGACTTTTCGAACCATTTAAACCATTAGTGTTTTATTTAAAAGTAATTTTTAATTTA